TCTCTTCTCTTCTCTTCTCTTCTCTTCTCTTCTCTTCTCTTCTCTTCACTTCTCTTTTCTCCTCTCTTGTCTTGTCTTCTGTTCTCTTCTCTTCTCCCTTGTCTTCTCGTGTCTTCTCGTGTCTTCTCTTGTCGTCTTTTGTCTTCTGTTCTGTTCTCTTCTCGTCTTCTTTTCTCCTTGCTTGTCTTCTTGTCTCTTGTCTTGTCTTGTCTTCTCTTCTCAGTTCCCATGGTGTTATGAAAAGTACCGGTAAATATTTGTTCATAGTTTTTGTTTGTCATGTTACCTACAATCAAGTATTCTGTGTGCAGAGTAAATAAATCACAAATCAAACGAGGCAAATGGAAGTGATGCTGTTGGTGTTGGATGTCTTCAATGTGGCATGCAGTTTGTAGGTAAAATGGTTTGCAGCGTTATAATAAATGTGTTTTTGTGAGTCAGCAATGCCAAGCAGCGCACTCCAAGGAAGTGGTCCTGTGAGTCCCCATTGGTGTCCATTACTGAGACAGAAGAAAAGGAAAATCCAAAAAGCCTTGAGCCTGAATGCACCACTACCTCACTAAACAACATGGAAAAAATAGAGGTATACAAATCATCATCATCAATGATGATTCACCATATAGGATTTTTTTTAAATATAGTTGACTCTTTTTTTTTTTTTTTTACATTTAAAAGATAATTATTTATTGTAAAAGCTCTGATCCCTTAAATATTTTTAGGAATTTTGGATTGATTAGATTGTTTTCTCTCTGTTCTCCTACACCTCTGTGTACTCTGTAAGTATCCAGCTGAAGGCTGATCGGTTGAGCTCTGTGTGTCAGTGACAACAAGGCTGCCATCCCCCAGTCTCAAAGTCACTTCTGCTGTTTCCCAGTCAGACCATTACTGACTAGGGGCACATTTGGACTAAAGAGAGAACGAGCTCAGAAAGGAAAATACCAGGGGGCCGATGTTCAGAGCAGCAGCACTAGAGAGACAGAGAGGAACGAAGACAAGTAAAAACGGCAACGAATACAAGGGAGGTGACTACTGTGCTAGACAATAATAAAAAGGGAAGAGAGAGAGAAAGTGACAGTTTGGCAAGGAGAGATGAAAGCAGAGCAAGAAACGGGGGGGAGATGGGGGGGAAAAATAATTTCTGTTGTGATGTAGTGAGTGAGCTGCGTGGGTTTTATACAGAGAGAGGTCGTGCTCTGTGCTGATGAAAAAAGCAGTGCAATTAGATGGTGAGCCATCAGTGTCTACGTCTCTTGGGGGGTTCATTATTACATTTCACTCTTAGCACACTGAGGAAAAAATAGAGTCCATATTAATCACCCTCTTGTGTAAATGTGACCAGTTATAGAGCAGTTAGGTGAGGGCAGTGTGGACATGCTAATGTGATGCCATTTGATGAACGCACACAGACTTTTTGGATTCCGACGCTCTCAGTTTGCATGCGTCATGTGTGTACCATATATGTTGTGAATGTGACCCTGCTCCTCTCAAGCACATGCTGGGTCACATGCTGGGTCACATGCTGAGAAACTGTGCATCAAGCAAGGACGGCGTTTGCTGTTTTGACCCCTCCCACTGTTTCTGTCCGTCCTGGCCAACAGAACTGAGCTTTGTGTATAACCCTAGGATAAGGGGAGGTGCTGTCACATGGCTTCTCTAATACCCTCAGTAGTAGCCTATCATTTCACTGTGTGTGAGCTAAAGTTCTAGATTCCAGTATAGGTTTTGTTTAGGTTGTGATCATTTACTTAATTTTCAAAGGTTAAATTGTTCAATTTATGTTTTTACTTGTAGTTTTAGGAAAAAAACGTTAAATACAAAGTCATTCTCTTTGAGAATCAAATCCAATCTGTGTAAAATAAAGCTAATTTAAGAGTGGCATTAATGTGCCCTTTCCTACCTACAAAGACTTGACTATAATCTGACCAAAAGAAAAAAGAACTGTCTCCGAAATCCTCAGCTAAAAATCCCAGCGGGCCTTCTGTGCAAAATCCATCAGTCTCAATGACCCCTTTCTGAACAGACAAGACAAATAGTCTCATGAAATTGTACACTGTGGGAGCACAGAACATCTCATGCCTTAAAGCCTCACTGAAAGTTTCATGCACGTTTGTGAACTTGCACACAAACATGTACAAACTGATGTTTCTGTTGCAGGAAAGTGCTTGTATAGAGGCAGATAGGAGGTCAAGTGTGCCTCCCAATCACAATGCCTCTTTCCGTCTGTCTGTGTCTCTGGGTACTTATTTGAATAAGCGATGACTCACATATAGCTACACACACAATCTCTCCTACTGAGTCATCAGAGAGTCTTGGCAGAGGTTCCTTTGAAGTTACACAACACAAAGACACACTTCTTGTTCAAAACTGAGTAAACTGTTGGACATTCACCATTTTCTTCTAAATGGAGCACGGTTTGAGAAAACTCTCAAGCAAATGGACCTGGAGAAATGTTCATAAAACTGAGAAATTATAGATTTCACTTAAAGGCTGTTCCAAATTACTATGTTTGCATTACTTGTCTAATTCAGTTAAAATAGTATATTTATATAGCAACAGTTTACAACAAAAGTCTTCTTTAGATAGTACAGTTAAGTGTTCAGTTTACCCCAAACTAATTATTACCGGTAGTTATTTAGTTTTAATCCACTCTATTTTTATTTGAGCTAAAATCAATTAATTTTTGAATGGTTAAATTATATATTTGTAAAATTCAAATTAGTAAAAAATCAAAACCAAAATAAATGCTAAGCTAACTGGTGAATTGCAATAAATGATACCACTGTACAATAAGGTTCTCCTTATTGATGGCTAATAAATAGTTTATAGATACATTATTAATTCCGCTATAAAAACTTTATAAATCATTAATAACTGCTTTATTATGCATTAATTAAGGGTGACAGAAAAACAAAATTGACCTGTATCTTGCCAAATAGTGAGTCAAATCTGCCACCTATATATTTCATATAGAATTGTTATATTAAACATTTCAGACTAAGTTACATTGTAAGTACAATAAGCATTTGTAAACATTTCTTTAGCAAATAATATTGTACTTTATCACTGCATTATAAGTATCTACAACTAATATTATATCCTATAGCATAATAAGCAGTTGCTAATGATTTATAAAGTGTTTATAGATTAATTAATAATGTATCTATATGATCCATCTATAAGGGGAGCTTATTGTAACGTGGTACCCAATAAATCTTTTCATAGATGCAGCCTCTTGGTTTGCACAGACTTGGAGCAGTGGGTGACAGAGAAAACAAGAACTCCATTTTAACACGAAGAGACCTCCAGCAGTCTCAGGAAGAGCGTCCATATGCTACTAGCAGTTGGGGTGTGACGGGACAGGACAAACACACGAAAGTAACAGGATGAAAAAAATCCAGTGTTGTAGGGATATGAAGAAAAGACTCGTTAGGTATGTCGGTTTAAATAGCTCAAAAACAGGCAGGAAATCAGAGCTACTGTGTAAATTGCCTCTAAAAGTAGAAGCATCTGCACAACATGCTAATTTCTCATCTGACACTCACATTCAAAGTAAATTAGAGCTGGTAGTTGCTGGTGTTTTTAGCAGGGGAGGAGCAGCCCCTGTCACATTAAACTGTGTCTCCGTGTTAGGCGAGAATGGCACAACACCACAACTGGTATAAAATTACCAGAGGGTAGACGCGTATCTCTTGCAGTGGAACTCTGGCAGCAGCTCACAGTTCATGACTCTCTCACTTTTTCTTTTTTTACTTCCTTGTTTGTCCCTGTAGGTTACAGCAGAGGACAAGATAAAGGACAGCGATTCCATCTCCAATGGTAAAAGCTCTTCCTGTGCGATGCTCTCAGGACTTGAAAGATAAATCTGTACCGGTATCTCGATTGTCTTATCAGATATCAAATGTTTGACTACCAAACGGGAAGAATACTCATTAATTATGTTTTGCTGGTGCTTTAAGGATCCCAGTAATTGGTTTACTTAAACAGAGTCAGTGCAGTGTAGCCCAGTTAATGTGATTAGAAGTATTTACATCCATCTTTCTCCCACCCTCTCTGTGGGCCAAGATCATTTCAAGAAGATAGGACTAAAATTATGCTTTTTGACATCAAGGCAATTCTCTGTCATTTTCCCTGCCCCCGTTTAGTTGCTTAGTAACACCTGCAATTTGAGTTAGACCACCATTGCTGAGCTGCAGAGATGCTGGCCCTCGGCCGCCTCAGCTTACTGATCAGAATTTTGCTTCAAGTAGAGCTCGGGGGCAGACTGTTGGTGTGTGCGCGTGTGTGTGTTCAGGGATGGAGAGTGTCTGTGTGCATATGTCTATGACTTTGCACAGTGTGCACTGAGATGGTGGGAGTCTGTGAGTGGGAGTATGGATGTGCCTGTGTGCTTACACTAAGCCATTACGTGGGAGTTTGGCCAGTTCAACTTACTGTAAGGATTTCAGTCTAGGATAAATTGCTGTGAGTCACAAGCATTTTGTTACTTGCAGCATTTTGAGACTTGAGATTTCATGGCCAGCTCCTTGGCCATTTGGTACTAGGTGTAACACGAATATCTCAGTTGATACTTACCTTGGTTGGGACATTTATCATTATGTCTGGAATTTGTTTTAGCAACAACAAAGTATGAAACAAAAATACTGAATGATCTATCTCTAGACCAGGGGTTTTCAAACTTTTTGGGATCAGGGATCTCTTACAGGGGAGAAAAAGTTTCAGCGACCCCCCTCATAATCCTCATGTTTATTAAATAATTTTCTTCAGTTTGTCTCTTTAATTCAATGGAAATATTTGTGTAACATAAATACTTAAGACCTGTTCTTTAATAGTGTTAATACATTTTTTTATACTTTTAAACATGGGTTTTTTTCATTCAAGACACACTCAATTAACAGAATTTTTATTTCAACTTGTAAAAATGACAGTTTTGAAAAATTTAACAGCATCAAAAGCCACTTTAAAACTTCATGAACATAATAAATGTATTGCCACTTCTTCAGATTATTACAGAAAACTCTTGACATAAAACTGAACAGAATCATAGCAGCAGTAGTCAGTAGACCAAGTAACAGGGCTTAATTTGTAAACTGATCGAGGCCGTAACGCAAATATCGGGGGATTCCGGGGACCCCATTTTGAGAACCACTGCTCTATACTATGCAACGCCTTTATTCCTGTAATAAATGTTTACTAAACACAAATTCTTCTACATTCATCTTTAATCTTTATCTTCAAGGTCATGTAAACGTCTTTTCAGATAGACCGGTAACTGCTATGAAAAAACCTGTTGCTAAGGAATCATCAAATGTTATCACCCCCCTGCAGAGGGCCTGGATAGATGCTGATGACTTTGCAAAATGCTTCCAGTGAGTCACAAATGTGAACATGCTGGAACAAATATTTATATTATACACATAGATTCTTGTAGTTCTAAAAAAAACAAGCTGCTTGAGCACCAAATAGACAGACATTAATTTTTCCTTTTCTTCCAGGACTCTCCTGGTGTTTTATAAGCCACACACCTATCCTCATCAGACACAAAAGTCTCTTTTTAAGGTACAAAATGTAAAATAAGTCATTGAAGAATATCTTCAGATTTACTTTGCAGAGTTGTGCATTCTGCGGTTTTGATTTATTCCCTTCTATTAGTTCCTGTGTTTGTGCTTTGACACATTTTTTGTAGTTAACAGTAACTAAGCTGTTCATTTGTCAACAGAGTGCTGTCCTATCCAAAACTACAGGAAGCAGTGGATCCCCGATTGTCGCAAGCCCTGAAGTACACATGCATACACACAAAGACACACATGAAGGAACACTAAGAAATTATTTATTATTTATGTTTTCCCTATTTACTCTTAATATTTAATTAAAGTATGATCCTGCTTCAGCTTTTGCTGCTTTTGTTTACTTTATTAAATTTGCTCTCTCGAGACATCCTGCCTAAATGTCAACAGAAATGTGTTTTTACTCAACCATTGCACTACCGAGCGAAGGCACCCCTCTTATCAGTTGATCGTTCCTCTCTGTGGCTTCTTTCGCTTGTAGCATTCAGCGTCTGCTTCTGAATCAATATCTTAGTACTGTGTCTCTGTGTGTGTGTTTCTTCCCGCAGTGTCCAGAAGTGAAAGGCGTTTACTACCTGTGTGTGGACAGTCTACAGCCTTCTCAGATCCTCATCAGTTTATCTGCTCTTCTTCTCTGGGGAGATGCAGGTGAGGAGAATAACAATTGTGTGTGCACCCACACACTCAAATACATACATTTCAATGTTTCTGTACATTTGATTTAATAAGTACATGCAGTAAAAACTCTATGGCAGCAAGTATAAATGAGCTAAGTAGTTTTCTCTACTTGTGTTTGATAGGAAATTTAAATACTTATGAATGCACTTAAATTTCATAAACTGTACTTAATTTTATTTTTTCTTACTTTTCATTTTCTCCTATAGAAAAGGAAATGTCTAGTGTTTGTAGATCTGCAGTGCTGATTATTCAGCCTCACTCCTGGACAAGTGTGCAGCGTCAGCTGCCAGTTCTCACCATCAAGACCTCCTGCTCAAAGGCAGCTATCCTTAGCATACCCACAGGGTAGGACAGTGCTGATATACTTACTTTACTTTACTTTACTTTACTTTACTTTATTACAGACTCAAAGTCCAACCAACATCACAGATAAATACAGAATATAGATAAAAAATACAGAATACAGATAAAAAAAAAAAAAAAAAAAAAAAAGGTTCCTAACCATGCAGGAGACAGTCATACCAGTGACTCCAAAGTGCAGAAGAATATTTCACTGCACTATATTTGACATTGGTCAACAGCAAAATAATTCTATTGTTAGACTCATTCAAACGACAAATAAATTTATACATAAGTTGTCTTAAAACAGCCATTAAAGTGTTGACACGGGTGGATACAAACAGCTCACTAGCACTGGTCCATCTAGGCTTATGTAGCAATAGTCTAAGAGCATCATTATAAGCGACCTTCAATCTATGAAGACTGGCTTTTTTAAAATTGCACCACAAATGTGCAGTATACAATGGTGTACAATACGATCTGAACAGGTTCAATTTCACTTCATCAGAACAGAATCCAAACCTACGCACAAGGATATTTGCCTGAACATAGATCATACGAAGCTGGCGGTACATGTCCTCATCATCAGATAGATGGTCTGTCAAGACATGTCCAAGATATTTTACTTCATGTGAAGCATTCAGTAGAGACCCAGACAATTTGAAATTTGGAAATATTCTATATTTATCCTCTTTAGTGCGGCAAATTAGAATTGTACTTTTTAATGGGTTGAACTGGACGTCATATTGCTCACCATATGCAGAACACACATTTAGCAGCTGCTGTAGACCCGCTGAGCTCGGGCTAAAAACCACAATATCATCAGCATACATAAAATGATTAATAATTGTATCACCAACCATGCAGCCTGTTCTACACATGTTTAACCGCTTAGAGAGATCATTCATATAAAAATTAAACAATATAGGTGATAAAATACTTCCTTGTCTGACTCCATTTCTAACATGGAAGGGTGCAGACACACAGTTGTCCCATTTGACCTGCATTGTTTGGTTAGCATACCAATAGGACAGACATCTTACTATGTACTTAGGCACACCGGCTTGGCACAATTTTAAAAATAATTTAGTATGATTTATACGGTCAAAAGCCTTAGTGGCATCTAAGAAGCACAAAAAAATTGTAGAATTTTTACTATTGTAACTGTTCAGTAATTCTTTTAGGCCATAAATACACAGATCAGTACCATGCTTGGACTTGAACCCAAATTGATTGTCTGTAGACTCTACTTGTTTAGCAAATTTTGGCAAAAGAATTAGTTCGAAGACTTTAGACAGAGTATTTGCTAGTGCAATAGGTCTATAATTATCTGAGCTGCCAATTTTTCCAGCTTTGTTTTTAATCACAGGAGATAGAATGACATTCATCAAGATATTGGGAATAAAACCATGCATAATAAAACCAGTGAAACACAAAGCAAGGAGAGGGGCTAACCTTGGACTTGCATACTTAAGATGTTCAGCTGAAATAAGATCCGTTCCTACAGATTTATTTACAGACAGTTCTTGAATTGCCTGATAGACCTCATGTGTTTTGATAGTTTCTACATTATTAACCTGGACATCCTGGAAGGGTTCGCTCTGAACACAGGTGAATAGTTTGCTATAGTGTTGTTGCCAAAAATGTACAATTGTATTTGCTCCTGAGGCTCCATCAACAGTACAAGGTAGACAGGATTTACCATTGCTGATGGTTTTGACCTCTTTCCAAAACGCTTTATTGTCTTTACCTATAAGCTTTCTTGCCAAGGAATCAGCCCTCATGGATTGCTCATTACGTTTAATGAAGCGTAGTGCATATTTGTATTTTGCATTAGACAGCTTTTTGTGTTCAAATATAGGGCCCTGCCTGGGTTTACCTGCTAGAGCCCAAGAGGAAGTAGCTTTACAGGCTTCATCATGGTATTTAGATACATAAGTGTTCCAACCAGGTCTATTTTTTATCTTTCTTGTGCTCTTGTTAAGTGGCAGGCTAGCTCCCAATAGCGCATCCGTTAATTGAGAGTAAAAAGCTGTTAAATTGGTTTTATGTTCAAAATCAGAGCAGTTACAGTCCATGCATGCAACTGCCTCTCTTGGTAATGTAATGGCGCCTAATAATCGATCAGTTTGGTTAAAGTACCGGGCTATTTGTTCAGTAGATAAAGAAGACCAATCTACACGTGTCTGAATATGATTGCTGTTTCCATATACAGTAGCGGGTATATGATCAAATCTAATAGACATCTCAAAAGGGATATGATCAGTAGTGGAGACATTGTATAAGATATTAATATATACCAGAGCAGCATGAGCATCTGCTGTAGTAATACAATGATCCAACCAAGACGTAGTATGCCAGGATTCACTTATGTACGTATAACTTGCAGCCGGCAAAAGTTCTTTGCTAGACAAAATTAGATTTGAATCCGTACAAAAATGATTCAAATGCCTTGAAAACAGCGAATTAGTATCTGATATGTCAGCATTCATGTCACCCATAACATAAATACTTTTTACCTTCTCGTTTTGCATAAAAGAGCTAATAAAAGCAAGTTTACTTAGGAATTCTTCTTCATTGTGATGACATTCATGTGGAGCATAGACATTTAAAATAAAGCATTCTTGTTCACGCTGCTTCACGTGTACTGCAATACACCAGTCTACACCAAGTCTAACAATTTTTATCAGTGGGTCCAGGCTCTTTTTCCATAAAATAGCCACTCCTCCAGGTATCCTTCCTCTTTTAATACCCAAACTCAGGTCTGTAGAAGATTCTCCAGCACCCAGGAAAGTGTCATTAATAGAGTTTAGTCCTTTTAAATCCTGTTTGGCCAGAAAAGTTTCTTGCAAGCACAAGATGTCACAGTGCAGCAGCAACTGGTCAACAACCAAACGGCGAGCTTTATCATCTGCGCTCTGTCCTAAGCGCAGGCCACGACAGTTGTAGGATATGACTTTAATGTCCATATAATTTATGGTTTTGTGCTCACGCCAGCGATAGAAGCGCATATATCCGTAGAAGAAAGAGTAGCGTCTGCACCGATGATTGTTTTGCGTGGCTCATAAAACCTCCGCACAATAGTTCCCTCAGGCCAAAACTCTGGGTTGTACATGACATCCACTTCACTACATTCAGCAGAGACCTTGAATGAGGCAAACCTGGTATTAACAGTCTTAATTCTCTGGCATGTAACCTTATGCCCAAGTTTAGATTTAAGATAAGCGCTTAGTGTATCTGCTTCGAGGTCAGGTGAGAATTTAGATGCAAAAACACTCACCAGCTTTGTTTTTACAATTTTGATGTTTCCAGCGGCACCAGTACCAACAATAGTCTGTCCAGCTTTCCTGCGTCCCAGTGAAGGACCAGAGCTAGCTGTTGAATTGGGAACAGCTAGCCCTTTGGGCTGACGATAGCGCCGTTTCACGACTTGGCTCCATTTAGGAGATCCCGAAGATGGCGAGGCCTCTCCGGCTGGCAGCGCTGGGACATCCCCCGTACCAGCTGAGAGGGGGTCCCCCTCCAGATCGCCATGACTAGGCTCCGTAACCAGTGCGGCGTTCAGATCCCTGTCCGCCGCACCTTTCTCCATCACCGATACAGACCGGCTTCCCCGTCCTTGTTCGGCGCTTTGTTCCAGAGCAGACATCCGGTGTCGCAGGTCCGTGGTAATATCGTGAAGATATTCACTGACTTCAGTCTGAACTCTGAGTGTTTGCTTCATTGCAGATACTGCAACATGGAGCTCTTCCATTTTACGTAGCAAGCCGCAGACATCCATGTTAGTAAAAGTCACTGGCGGTAGCTCATCCAGATAGTGGGACACAAATCTGGGAATATTATCCCCGCATTCGTTTAGCACTTTGAGACAGGCCTTCACATTGTTGATATCCTTTTGTGCTCCTTTATGCGAGATGTTCCGCTGGGAGGGAGTGCATAGCTCATATAGCGTCTTCTTTGAAGTTTCAATCCAATCTGAGTCGAAGATGTTGACGGCCAACAAGATAATCTCGTCCTGGCTTAGCGTCTTTAGTTTGATAAAAAGAAAGTGTAAAAATTCATCCTCAACGATAATTTTATCCTCGACCGTCTTATATATAC